GTTTGACTAGATATTTGAATACTGAAATACAGCGTTTAACAGCACAGTTGATGCATTTTCACACGAAAAACAAAGGTATGGGAATCAAAGGGTAAAGGTTTCAAAAATTAGCAACCCTTTGGTTACTTTTGTACTATTTCAAAGGCATTCAAATTTAACACCCTTATCAAGGCACTAAGTCGTACCTTGGGTTTTTTTCAGTGTTTTCACAAATGTCCTGTAGTTGTTTCCACATTTCCAGTCCTAGAACACCCGAACACATGTGCACCATAGCGTAACCTTGTGCGCGCCACTTGCACACTTTGTGTGCTACCCTCGACCACCGCCCTCCCGTCCTTGTGACCTTGGCCGGCGTCACCCGCACCCTGATTGGGCGCTCCGCTCCGTCACACCTGGGCACGGCCGGGCACGCCTCACCTCAAGTCCTTGAACACGTGCTGCTCCAAGGCGGGAGGAGGCTCCTGTTTGGTAACGCCCCGGAGCGTGATGAGCACGGGAGGTGGGAGGGGCCATCAGTGTCGGCGTGTTCACACATTCTGTCTCTCCCCCCCTCCCCGCTCCCTCCCGCTCTCCCCCTATCCCCCGCCTATTCTACATCCTATTAGATTGGGTGGCGCATGCCTTTGTCCTATAGCAACGCGTGTTAGCGTCATACTAAAAGAGAGTGAGCAGAGCCAGAGTGAGGGGGGGGGGGGGGGGGGAAAGTGTAGAGAGTGAGCAAAACTAGAGAGGCGGTAGAGGGAGAATAGAGAGTGGTTGAGTTGCGAGCCGATTTCAGAACCAAACCGTAGCGTTTTTCTTTGCCAAATCACAAAAAAAAAAAAAATAGTTCCCCGAAACTTTCTCGACACACAATGCCGACACTGTTAAAGAAGGAAGACCTATAACACAGAGTTAATTTTGTGCTGAGGAATAAACTCTTCCTCAACCGCGTCCTTATACCACGGTATGAGTTCCCCGTGGCCACACGTGTTTGAGACCCTTCCCCCCTCCCTTCGTAGGCCTCGAGTATGTTCAAGCGTTGCCTTTTGTTTGGTCGAATCAATGAGATCGTCATTTGCCGTTACGAAACTGCCTGCGCGGTTTAGCCAATGCAAGGTCTCATAGCGCCTAGATGGTATGCAACACCTTGCCTGCAGTGCATGCGTGTACTGCGGGCTGGCCTACCCTGCGTCCCGCAG